ACACCAACCATCACCCCTACCCCCATCACACACCAACCAACACCCCTACCACATCATACACCAACCATCACCCCTACCCCATCACACACCAACCATCACCCCTACCCCCATCACACACCAACCGTCACCCCTAACCCCGTCACACACCAACCATCACCCCTACCCCCATCACACACCAACCGTCACCCCTAACCCCGTCACACACCAACCATCACCCCTACCCCCATCACACACTATCCAACACCCCTACCCCATCACACACCCACCCTCACCCCTACCCCCATCACACACCAACCATCACCCCTACCCCCATCACACACCAACCATCACCCCTACCCCCATCACACACCAACCGTCACCCCTAACCCCGTCACACACCAACCATCACCCCTACCCCCATCACACACCAACCGTCACCCCTAACCCCGTCACACACCAACCATCACCCCTACCCCCATCACACGCCAACCATCACCCCTAACCCCGTCACACACCAACCATCACCCCTACCCCCATCACACACCAACCATCACCCCTACACCCATCACACACCAACCATCACCCCAACCCCCATCACACACCAACCATCACCCCTACCCCCATCACACACCAACCATCACCCCTACCCCCATCACACACCAACCATCACCCCTACCCCCATAACACACCACCATCACACACCAACCATCACCCCTACCCCCATCACACACCAACCATCACCCCTACCCCCATCACACACCAACCATCACCCCCTACCCCCATCACACACCAACCATCACCCCCTCCCCCCATCACACCAACCATCACCCCTACCCCCATCACACACCAACCATCACCCCTACCCCCTCACACACCAACCATAACCCCTACCCCCATCACACACCATCCATCACCCCTACCCCCATCACACACCAACCATCACCTCTACCCCCAAGACAAACCAACCATCACCCCTACCCCCATCACACACCAACCATCACCCCTACCCCCATCACACACCAACCATCACCCCTACCCCCATCACACACCAACCATCACCCCTACCCCCATCACACACCAACCATCACCCCTACCCCATCACACACCAACCATCACCCCTACCCCATCACACACCAACCATCATCCCTACCCCCATCACACACCAACCATCACCCCTACCCCCATCACACACCAACCATCACCTCTACCCCCATCACAAACCAACCATCACCCCTACCCCCATCACACACCAACCATCACCCCTACCCCATCACACACCAACCATCACCCCTACCCCCATCACACACCAACCATCACCCCTACCCCCATCACACACCAACCATCACCCCCTACCCCCATCACACCAACCATCACCCCTACCCCCATAACACACCAACCATCACCCCTACCCCCATCACACACCAACCATCACCCCTACCCCCATCACACACCAACCAACACCCCTACCACATCATACACCAACCATCACCCCTACCCCATCACACACCAACCATCACCCCTACCCCCATCACACACCAACCATCAGCCCTACCCCCATCACACACCAACCATCACCCCTACCCCCATCACACACCAACCATCACCCCTACCCCCATCACACACCAACCATCACCCCTACCCCCATCACACACCAACCATGACCCCTAACCCCATCACACGCCAACTATCACCCCTACCCCCATCACACACCAACCATCACCCCTACCCCCATCACACACCAACCATCACCCCTACCCCCATCACACACCAACCATCACCCCTACCCCCATCACACACCAACCATCACCCCTACCCCCATCACACACCAACCATCACCCCTACCCCCATCACACACCAACCATCACCCCTACCCCCATCACCCCTACCCCCATCACACACCAACCATCACCCCTACCCCCATCACACACCAACCATCACCCCTACCCCCATATCACCCCTACCCCCATCACACACCAACCATCACACACCAACCATCACCCCTACCCCCATCACACACCAACCATCACCCCTAACCCCATCACACACCAACCATCACCCCTACCCCCATCACACACCAACCATCACCCCTACCCCCATCACACACCAACCATCATCCCTACCCCCATCACACCAACCATCACCCCTACCCCCATCACACAACAACCATCACCCCTACCCCCATCACACACCAACCATCACCCCTACCCCCATCACACACCAACCATCACCCCTACCCCCATCACACACCAACCATCACCCCTACCCCCATCACACACCAACCATCACCCCTACCCCCATCACACACCAACCATCACCCCTACCCCCATCACACACCAACCATCACCCCTACCCCCATCACACACCAACCATCATCCCTACCCCCATCACACCAACCATCACCCCTACCCCCATCACACACCAACCATCACCCCTACCCCCATCACACACCAACCATCACCCCTACCCCCATCACACACCAACCATCACCCCTACCCCCATCACACACCAACCATCACCCCTACCCCCATCACACACCAACCCTCACCCCTACCCCCATCACACACCAACCATCACCCCTACCCCCATCACACACCAACCATCATCCCTACCCCCATCACACACCAACCATCACCCCTACCCCCATCACACACCAACCATCACCCCTACCCCCATCACACGCCAACTATCACCCCTACCCCCATCACACACCAACCATCATCCCTACCCCCATCACACACCAACCATCACACACCAACCATCACCCCTACCCCCATCACACACCAACCATCACCCCTACCCCCATCACACACCAACCATCACCCATACCCCCATATCACCCCTACCCCCATCACACACCAACCATCACCCCTACCCCCATCACACACCAACCATCACCCCTACCCCCATCACACACCAACCATCATCCCTACCCCCATCACACACCAACCATCACCCCTACCCCCATCACACACCAACCATCACCCAATCACACACCAACCATCACCCCTACCCCCATCACACACCAACCATCACCCCTAACCCCATCACAGGCCATCACACTAAACTAAAAACTATTTTTACTTTAGCAGGTAAGGCTACACTGAGCTATGTAACTCTATCACAAATTATATCTCAACAAAGTGACTTATCATCACGCATGTTGTTTATTATAAATGCAGAGGGGGGAAAAAAATCCACGCGAACACGGGGAGAGAGAGAGACACAAACTCCGAAAATTTAAAGCAGGCGTCGTCAGGGTCGGGATCGAACCCACGACCTCCTGTATACCAGGCGAGATAGTTAACATCTCATAGCCGCCGTGATGATGATGAGAGAGAGACGCAGACTCCAAATATACAGCAGCAGTTAGGGTCGGGATCGAACCCACGACCTCCTGTATACCAGGCGAGGTAGTCAACATCTCCTAACCACCGTGGCTCCCCACTACCAACTAACACCCCCTTATCCCCATCACACAAGCCACCAATATCCCAACGCGAACACGGACCCATCCAGCAGCCTCGTCCACACCCTACACGAACATGCCTACCTACAACACCGAGGCATAATCCATCTTGCAACGAAACACATCACGAAACTAACATCCTGCTCACCATCACCCCCCACTCACCAGCACAGCAAACCCCGTGACACACTCACCCCGCGTCACTCACCAAACCACGCAACGCTCACCCCTCCCCCACCACTGACAGACTCACTACCACCACACTGACTCACCACACTCACTCACCACTCTCACTCACTCACTACACCCACTCACCACACTCACTACCACCACACTCACTACCACCACACTCACTACCACCACACTGACTCACCACACTCACTCACTACACCCATTCACCACACTCACCACACTCACTCACCACTCTCACTCACCACACTCACTCACCACTCTCACTCACCACACTCACTCACCACACCCGTCTCCCCGCTACACTCACCCCGCGTCACTCACCAAACCACGCAACGCTCACCCCTCCCCCACCACTGACAGACTCACTACCACCACACTGACTCACCACACTCACCACTCTCACTCACTCACCACACCCACTCACCACACTCACTACCACCACACTCACTACCACCACACTCACTACCACCACACTGACTCACCACACTCACTCACTACACCCATTCACCACACTCACCACACTCACTCACCACTCTCACTCACCACACTCACTCACCACTCTCACTCACCACACCCGTCTCCCCGCTACACTCACCCCGCGTCACTCACCAACCACCCAACGCTCACCCCTCCCCCACCACTGACAGACTCACTACCACCACACTCACTACCACCACACTCACTCACCACACTCACTACCCCCGACTCCCCGCGTCACTCACCCCGCGTCACTCACCAACCACCCAACGCTCACCCCTCCCCCACCACTCTGACAAACTCACTACCACCACACTCACTCACCACTCCCACTCACCACACTCACTAACACCACACTCACCACACCCACTCACCACACTCACTCACCACCCCCGTCTCCCCGCTACACTCACCCCGCGTCACTCACCACTCACCCCCCGTGACACTCACCAACTCACCACACGCGACAAACTTCGCGCGAGAACACTCACCACGGGCGACACCCGCGTTACCCCCCCCCGCCAACTCACCACCTCACGCTCACCACCCCCACCCCTCACCCTCACCACCCCCCCTCCCCCTCCCACCGCGCCATCTTAGCTCGCAATTACAGCGAGCGGCCATTATGGCGCTGAGATTTTAATCAAAAGTACACCCAGAGACGACGCGCAGCTCCGGTTAACGTCTTTCCCCTCCTCCCTCCCTCCCCACGTGGTTACAAGGGGGTCCCCACCCGCCCAACACCCTCGAGTGGGGGTGAGCGAAGGGGGTACCCGAACCCCACCCCCCGAGAGATGTGGGGTGGTGGTCATAGGCCCCGAGGCCACACTACGGGGTGACAGCGCCGCTCGGATAGTTTGGCCTGCCGGGTGAGGACGCGCCTCACCTTGGCGAGCAGGGTCCGCCGAGCCGCCTCCTCGGGGCCCGGCCGAGTGAATCCGAAGAGGCAGCTGAGGGTGATGAAGGGAAGGGGGTAGAGGGTAGGTTGGGTAAGGGTTGGTGGGGTGGGTTGGTGTGGTAGGTTGGTGGGTAGGTTGGTGGGTAGGTTGGTGTGGTAGGTTGGTGTGGTGGGTTGGTGTGGTAGGTTGGTGGGTAGGTTGGTGGGTAGGTTGGGTAAGGGTTGGTGGGTAGGTTGGTGTGGTAGGTTGGTGTGGTAGGTTGGTGGGGTAGAGGGTAGGTTGGGTAAGGGTTGGTGTGGTAGGTTGGTGGGGTAGGTTGGTGGGTAGGTTGGTGTGGTGGGGTTGGTGGGTAGGTTGGTGTGGTGGGGTTGGTGTGGTAGGGTCGGTGGGGTAGAGTTGGTGGGGTAGGGTTGGTGGGGTAGGGTTGGTGGGGTAAGGTTGGTGTGGTGTGTTGGTGTGGTGGGTTGGTGTGGTAGGTTGGTGGGTAGGTTGGTGTGGCGGGATCGGTGTGGCAGGGTCGGTGGGGCAGAGTTAGTGGGGTAGGGTTGGTGGCGTGGGGTCGGTGGGGTAGGGTTGGTGGGGTAGGGTTGGTGGGGACAGACGGGAGAGGAGAGCGTGAGATAGACACGGAGGACACAGACGTGGAGATAGACGTGGAAGTTAGACACGGTGGTGGGAACGAGGGGCGTGGGAGACAAGACACAGAGACACGGAGACACAGACAGACGAACAAAAGAGACACAGAGACACCGAGAGTTCAGCGAGAAGAGAGACAAGACGGAGGCTCAGAGAGACACACAAGCGGACAGGAAAGTTGACAGACAGATGCACACAGACACAGCCGATTACACATCCGTACCACTTACATAGACACGTGTCTACAATACACAGAGACATACGGCCCTACCATACACAAGGGCAAAGATCCCCCGTGTAGCCTGTAACAGGCTGTAGGGGCAAGTGCTGTTAGCGAGTATCAGCGCATGTGAAGGCTACCGGCACTGTGGCACACGAGGGGGTGGGTGACCAGCAACCACGCCCGGCCGCCTTTGTCTCCCCCCAGTGGCGATGTTTACTACACACACCGCACCAGGTACTCATTTGAGACTGAGTCGACCTAGGGGAGGAGGCCCGGAGGCAATTCAGATAATCGTCACTGGTGCTGTTGGCTGTGAGCCGGGAATCGAACTCGGATCGCCGGGTAGGTAGGAGGGGCAGCGCGCTAACCATTGCACCACCGCTCCCCACACAGGTAGACACAACACGCATACACACACTGACAGACACACACTGACAGACACACTCACATACACACACTGACAGACACACACTGACAGACACACTCACATACACACACTGACAGACACACACTGACAGACACACACTCACATACACACACTGACAGACACACACTCACATACACACACTGACAGACACACACTCACATACACACACTGACAGACACACACTCACATACACACACTGACAGACACACACTCACATACACACACTCACATACACACACTGACAGACACACACTGACAGACACACACTGACAGACACACACACTGACATAGACACACAACACGCACACACTGACATACACACACTGACATACACACACTGGCATAGACACACCACACAACACGCGTACACACACTGACATACACACATAACACGCATACACACACTGACATAGACACACCACACAACACGCGTACACACACTGACACACACACATAGACACACTGACATACACACACACTGACATAGACACACTGACACACACACATACACACACTGACACACATACACACACTGACACACACACACTGACATACACACACACTGACAGACACACACTCACATACACACACTGACATAGACACACCACACAACACGCGTACACACACTGACACACACACATAGACACACTGACATACACACACACTGACATAGACACACTGGGAGACGTGTAACGTGCCCCACATACAGTTCACAGGTACTGTATATGACAAAGATCCCCCGTGTAGCCTCTAGCAGGCTGTAGGGGCAAGTGCTGTTAGCGAGCAGCAGCTGTGAAGGCTACCGGCACTGTGGCTCACGAGGGGGTGGGTGGCCAGCAACCCACGCCCGCCCGGCCGCCTTTGTCTCCCCCCGGTGGCGATGTTTACTACACACACCGCACTGTGTACTCATTAGAGACACAGTCGACCTGTATAGACAACACGCACACACGTAGGCAAAACACCCATTCAAAAGACAGGCACTCGCCACCAATCAATTGCTCATACCCCAACACACACGAGCCAACACCCATAGCGAAACGCTACAACAGCATGGAACTAACAACCGCTAACCACCACCAACAACACTATTCCCAAAAGTACAGCCACCGCGACTGTCACTATCACCACAGCCTCCACCACCACCATCGTAACCACCAACACGAACTCCAACTACCACCATAGCCTCCATCACCACCATAGCCTCTACCACCACCACCACCATAACCACCAACACGAACTCCAACTACCACCATAGCCTCTACCACCACCACCATAACCACCAACACGAACTCCAACTACCACCATAGCCTCTACCACCACCACCATAACCACCAACACGAACTCCAACTACCACCATAGCCTCCATCACCACCATAGCCTCTACCATCACCATCGTAACCACCAACACGAACTCCAACTACCACCATAGCCTCTACCACCATAGCCTCTACCACCATAGCCTCTACCACCACCACCATAACCACCAACACGAACTCCAACTACCACCATAGCCTCCATCACCACCATAGCCTCTACCACCACCATCGTAACCATCATCACTAACTCCACCACCACTACTACCGTAGCCTCCGCCACCACCATTACCACTAACACTAACTCCACCACCATCATCACTAACTCCACTACCACCGTAGCCTCCGCCACCACCACCATAACCACCAACACTAACTCCACCACCACCATAACCACCAACACTAACTCCACCACCACTACTACCGTAGCCTCCGCCACCACCACAACCACCATCACTAACTCCACCACCACCACCAACACTAACTCCACCACCACCACAACCACCAACACTAACTCCACCACCACCATAACCACCATCACTAACTCCACCACCACTACCACCGTAGCCTCCACCACCATCACTAACTCCACCACAACTACCAACACTAACTCCACCACCACCATAACCACCAACACTAACTCCACCACCACCATCACTAACTCCACCACCACCATAACCACCAACACTAACTCCACCACCACCACCACAACCACCATCACTAACTCCACCACCACCATAACCATCATCACTAACTCCACCACCACTAACACCGTAGCCTCCACCACCACCATGACCACCATCACTAACTCCACCACCACCACTACCACCATCACTAACTACACCACCACCATAACCACCATCACTAACTCCACCACCACCACAACCACCAACACTAACTCCACCACCACCATAACCACCATCACTAACTCCACCACCACCATAACCACCATCACCAACTCCACCACCACCACAACCACCATCACTAACTCCACCACCACCACAACCACCAACACTAACTCCACCACCACAACCACCAACACTAACTCCACCACCACCACAACCACCAACACTAACTCTACCACCACCACAACCACCATCACTAACTCCACCACCACCATAACCATCATCACTAACTCCACCACCACTAACACCGTAGCCTCCACCAACACCACCACCATGACCACCATCACTAACTCCACCACTATCACTAACTCCACCACCACCATAACCACCATCACTAACTCCACCACCACCACAACCACCAACACTAACTCCACCACCACCATAACCACCAACACTAACTCCACCACCACCATAACCACCATCACTAACTCCACCACCACCATAACCACTATCACTAACTCCACCACCACTACCACCGTAGCCTCCGCCACCACCACCATAACCACCATCACTAACTCCACCACCATAACCACCAACACTAACTCCACCATCACCACCAACACTAACTCCACCACCACCAACACTAACTCCACCACCACCATAACCACCAACACTAACTCCACCACCACCACCAACACTAACTCCACCACCACCATAACCACCAACACTAATTCCACCACCACCACCAACACTAACTCCACCACCACCATAACCACCAACACTAACTCCACCACCACTACCATCGTAGCCTCCGCCAACACCACCAAAACCATTATAACCACCAACGCCAAACACCGCCATAAGAACCACCAACTCCACCACCATCATAACCACCAACATTAACTCCAACACCACCAAAACCACCAACGCTAACTCCAACACCACCAGCCCTCCACCAAAATCACCACCACCATTCACCAACCCCCGCCCCCCTCCCCCAAGGCCCTCTCTCACATCGTCAACCAAGGATAATGATGGTGGTGCTGTTCACAAATAAACATCGTCACGCGTTGGTGTTGACGAGGTGAATGGATTTTGTTTTCCCTTCGCGAGGTTGACACGAGGTGAACTTTAGTTTTGAGTGTTCATGTGTGATGTCAACTATTGTTGAAGTGATGATGTGGTGGTGGTGGCGAGTAGGTGGATGATTGGTCGATGTAGCGATTAGCTAATTGGTAGTTATAGTGAGTAGGTGGGTGGTTAATAGTTATCGTGAGTAGGTGAGTCGCTTGTAGTTGTGGTTAGCTGAGCAGGTGTGGTGGGTAGGTGGGTGGTTTTACTTGTAGTGGTTAGTTAGTTGATAGTTAACAGGTGGATTATGGTGGGTGGATTGTTGGTAATTACGTGATTGGTGGTGGTCGCAAGTCTTTAGTGGTAGCTGTATGTGGTTTGTAGTTGCATGTGCTTAGTGGTAGTTGCATGTGGTTGGTGCTAGTTGCATGTGGTTAGTGAGAGTCGTATCTGGTTAGTGGTGGGTGTTAGTAGGTAGTTGTTGCATGTGGTTAGTGAGAGATGTATCTGGTTAGTGGTGGGTGTTAGTAGGT